TAATAAAATTCTGATTATAGAAGTTACACATTGTAGAATACAGAAAATCATATAATAGAAAAAAGAAAAATACCTATTGTTAATGGAGAGCATATTCTTCTGTTGTTTTAGGCATATTTGTACAACAATATAAAATACCTACAGATACATGTCTATAATAATTCTGTATATTATTCCCTAAGCCCAGTTTATGACCATCTTCTCAGGTCATTAATTATGCTACTAAATTAAGCACTCTAATCTGTGTGTGTGTGTGTGTGTGTATTGCCACGGTGTCTGGCACCCAGATGAAACCTATACACTGCTTCTCAGAAATCACGGTTTTAAATAATATAGTAAATAAATAGATAGTGTTAAAGAATAGACCAGTTCAATTAAAATATAGCTAGCATGGTATTAAAAATGCATGAGATAGCAATAAATGTGCCTTTTTATGCCTTCAACAGCGAGAGTTGGCTGTGGGTCTGATAACCACTATAATCTTGAAGTACTGATGGATGTAAATGGTATTTTGAGATACCTGCAACAACTATAATTTGATATGAAAATAGCAGTGATTTCTTTGGGTGAGAAAGTCACAGATTCTGCTAATAGCATTGTTGTTTACAGCCTGAATTCATTATTGAAGGAAATGCTGAATTTCAGTTAGAGGTTATTAAAAATAAAAATATAATTTTCTTTTCCCTTCCAAATCCTTAGGCTCTGAGTGCTATCTGTAGATCTTTTATGGGAACACAGTCTAAAGGTGAAGCTGGCTTAATACATTCTAGAATTCAAGATAACTCTGCTATTGTCTCAAGGATCACCTGAAATGCAGTTCCCCAGCCTTGGTCTCTTGACTCAGTGAATGTAATGGCCTCTCTGTATAGAAAACCTTCTTGTCATCTGACTATGATTCTCTTAATTGCCCCTGTCATTGGGGATTATTAGTTTTCAGCTTTACGGGCCACAATAATTGCAATCCTTCCTTCACCTACACCCCACCTTAGCTATGCAGGTGACCATCAATGTCATGCAACCCACAATGTGTTAACATCACATTGCTGTGACCAAATACCTGAGAAAGGAATTTAAGAGAGGTAGGATTTATTGTTGCATGGTTTCAGAGGGTTCGGTCCATGATCACTGATCCCTTGGCACTGTTTCTGGGCCTGTAGTGAGGTAGAATGTCATGGTGGTGGGATTGTGTGGCAGAGGGTATTCATCTGATGGTTTTCTGAAAGGAGAAAGAGACAGAGAAAGACAGAGATAGAGAGAGAAAGAAATAGAAGAGTAGAGAAGAGAAAAGAAGAGAAGAGAAGAGAAGAGGAGGAGAGGCACCCAGGCAAGATATAGCCATCAAGGACCTGTTCCCATAACCTGTTTCCTGCTCTTAGGCCCTCGTCCTAAAATTTCAGAACTTTCCAAAATAGCACCACCAGCTGGGAACCAACCTTCAATACCTAAGCCTTTTGGGGGGCACTTCATATTCAAACCATAACACACAGTCATTAAAATGCTAGTAAAATGTGGATCTTCTGAGAGAATGATAGGATTTCAGTGCTATGGGTGGACTTTATAAATGAGAAAGCAGCAACTGTAGGAGGACGTGATGGTGTACAGGTAATGGGGTAGCTATTTGCAAAATGCATATGGAATGACATGCAAATGTGGGGTATCATTTTTGCTTCTGGCCCTGGCTGGTAGGTTTGTGACCCGCTTCATTGAGCTGGAGGGTTTGACCTGTCTGCTGAATTTTCTCCGGAGCATGGACCATGCCACTTGTGAGAGCCGCATCCACACCTCCCTTATTGGCTGCATCAAGGCCCTGATGAACAACTCCCAAGGGCGGGCACATGTGCTGGCACAGCCGGAAGCCATCAGCACCATCGCCCAGAGTCTCCGCACAGAGAACAGCAAGACCAAGGTGGCCGTGCTGGAGATCCTGGGTGCTGTGTGCCTGGTACCCGGAGGCCATAAGAAGGTGCTGCAGGCCATGCTACACTACCAGGTGTATGCGGCAGAGAGAACACGCTTCCAGGTGACAAGCCTGACTGAGGGTTGGAGCGACAGCAGGGTGGGGGCAGAAGTGACACCTAGTGAGTGTGAGAGACTGACAACTCTTTGTAATAGAAAATGGGGGAAAGGGAACATTATGCTTGCGTGCCTTCTTAGGGAGGAAGAGCACTGAGACCCAGAGGGCTTGCCTCAAAAGACAGGGGGATTGTGAACTTGGCTGCCAAAATGGACTTGTCCTTCCCACTAGACCATGGATTCTTACAGGCTGGAATATTGGCTTGCTTCATTTTTGTTACTCTACAGCTCTGAGCCCAGCACCCAACTCACAATTGGGGCTCAGTCAAGAATTGTTAAATTTAAGATTTTAGGTTTAAAATTTGGGCCAGTGCCTAGTGTGAGGATAGTGGGACCATCCCTAGGAGCTCAGGCCATGCTATTCCCTTTTCTTCTTTCTTACCTACCTAGAAAAGTAAAGATAAAATAGACAATATGAATAAAGGGTCTTAACACCATGTCTGGCAGGATAAGTCTTAGTAGATGTGAACTAGCATTAAAAACTCTATGGTTCATGTGTCAGAATAGCTGTTTATTCTGGCATCAAATATTTTTGAGCATCTCTGCAGAAAGTGGCCCCTGACCCTTTGTAGAAGATGCAAAAGGTAATGTCCATGTGGTTTGGGAACTGGGCAACAGCTGGAGCACAATTAGAAAGCAGGACTGTAGCACTTCCCAGCAATTGAAGCCAAGCCCTGAGGGCTGAATGAGAGGTGTGGGGAGATTTCTTGGCAGATACGAGATCTGGGTTATTCAAAAATTAACTGGAGAGACATGATTTGGCAGAGAGAATGGAGGGGACCTTCTCAGTGGTTGGAACATCAGGAGCAAAGGGGCAGTGGCTTCTCTTGTAGGATCTTGAGGTCTCCTGTCCTGCCTTGTCCTATCTTTCCATCTAGACTCTGCTGAATGAGCTAGACCGAAGCTTGGGCCGGTACCGGGATGAAGTGAACCTGAAAACAGCCATCATGTCCTTTATCAATGCTGTTCTCAATGCTGGAGCTGGAGAGGTGAGGTCCCTTTTCCCTGCCCTTGCTGTTCCATGACTTTCCGGACCTGGGGTTGGGTATGTGAGTATGAGCACTTCCTGGGGAACTGGCAGAGAGAAGGGCTGAGGCACTTGGTGGTGTGGCCACCATTGCCATCAGCACATTCAGGTCATCTTTAGAGCTTTTGGTCTTTTTTACTTGGGGCCAAGAAAGAATAGCTCATCATGAACCTCAGTGTCACAAGAGCAATGCCATGTCAGCCAGACCTGGATTTCATATAATTCACAGTTTGTCTCATCAGTGGCTCTTCAAAGCTGTGGCGAGGACTAATTCTGCCTTTGCTTCCCCACAAAATTCTTGCGGTTTTTGTCTAAACCTGGAAAGCCTCCTGGGGAGTTTCTATCCAAGGTACATTGTGCATGGTATGAGTCGTGGACAGATCCCCAGTGAGGCTGGCTAATGATAGCTCAAGGTGGTAGGGGATCATTTAGGGAAAGAGGCAAGTTTGGGCCCTTCTTTCTAGAACTTTCTAGAGACCTGCTTCTGGAGTGCTTTCTGGTTTGGCTAAAGGTTCCTTTAGCACCTTTTGTTACGAGGTATAGCTTCTGGTTTCTCTTCCTCTGGGAATGAAGATTGTCAGACCATTAAGATAGCAACATTAGAAACATTTAAAGATCAAGCAGACACCCCAAATCCTAAGGCAATCAGATGCCCCAATGAAGGTCAACTTCAATGAGAAAAGGGGCAAAGAGAGCAATTGAATGATCTCTACTTTCCCCCTTTTGTGCCAGCAAACTTTCTTTGCATGCAGTTCTGATGACCTGAGTTAAGCAAGGTAGACTGGGGGAGTATTCTGTCCCTAAGAGTCTGACATTACTTTTGTCAGTACCAGCTGTTTATGGTTATCATTCATTCTGATTAGTTAGAAGTCATACCATATCAGATAATTTTTATGGAAATCTCCCCCATAAGTAAGTAAAGATATGCCCATTTTACAAATGAGGAATTTAAGGCTTTGCCAAGACCATAAGAGTAGAAGTGACCCAGCAGGGATTTTTAAAAGATCTATCTGACTCTAAAGCTGGTTGCTCTGTGTCTGTCTCTCTGCAACACTGCTCTTTGATGCTGGAGGTTTAAGAGAACACCTCGCTACAAGGAAGTGAGGTGGGAGGGCTAAAAAGAGGTGAGCAGAGGTCTTGCTTTAGAGAAACAGCAAGCTCAAAGGCTGTCTTCTCCCATCTTTCTTTGGAAGTCTGGAATTTGAATTAGCTCCAGGTAAGTTTGCAGTAGGACATGAGGTGGGACTATGACTGCAGTGGTAATGAGGGATCTGCTGGGGTCTCTTGAGGACATGAGAACAGCCAATAAGTCTGTAACTCCCTTGGTGGTCCTCAGGGTAATCTGGAGTTCCGCCTACATCTCCGGTACGAGTTCCTGATGCTGGGGATACAGCCTGTGATTGATAAACTCCGGCAACATGAGAACGCCATCCTGGACAAGTAAGGGCCCAGCCACCCAGCCCCACTGCAAACCTGTAGGGACAGTGCTTTGGTGGGAATGGTGAGGACCTTAGTGAAGGCTGTTTTCCCACTGGGGACCACATTTCATATCCAGCATAATTTCAGAATCAGCTCCGTGTGGGGCAACTGTGTCCTTGCCCACCCACTTTAATGACCTTGTAGCATCTCTGATGTTATAGATAAGTGAACCCAGTAGTCCTCAGTCATGACTGCACTGCCCCCTGGGGGACATTTGGAAATATGTGAGGGTGTTCTTTAGTTTTCAAACTGGTTGATGGGGGCCAGCAATGTTCAAATATCTTTTAGTATACTCCTGCTCAACAAAGAAATGCCCCCTCACAAAGCATGCTACAAACCCTGGCTGATCAAAGGCATAATTAAATTCTTATGTGTTACCAGCATGTCCCACCAGTTCTATCCCATTGGTAGAGGCTATTCTATTATACCGGGCTCTAAGAGAGAGATGATGAATGGTTTTGAGGTGGAGTGGCTTGATGTTTTGATGGGAGTAGGAAAGAAGGGAGAGATGACTTAGGAGCAGTGTATGAGACCACTGGGGAAGATGGATGGAAGGCAGTAATCCTTGAATGAGAGTGATTCTTATTACCCAGTACACAATGCCTGGAGACATTTTTGGTTGTCACACTTGGGAGCAGAAGTTCTACTAGAATCTAGTGGGTAGAGGTCAGGGATGGTGCTAAACATCTTGCATCCATAGATCAGCCTCCCATGGCAAGGCTAATTAAACCTAAAATGTCAATAACATCAAAGTTGAGAGATGCCGATCTTTCACGATAGGATCCTAAGATGACCTCCCTGAAGGGAGACCATGAGATCTTATAAAGGAGGAAGGCCTCATCAGGTGTCTTCTTTCTGGTCTTGCCTTAACCTCACCCAAGTGAAGCTTCCAGATTCATCCAGTGGGGGATGGAAGGGACCGTAACCCTCAACCAGGGATATCCTGGCTACAACATCTACATCTCTCTGCCCCCACCCTATCTAGGCACTTAGACTTCTTTGAGATGGTCAGGAATGAAGATGACCTGGAGCTAGCTCGGAGGTTTGACATGGTAAGGAGCATGAGGGGGTGGCATGATTGCAGTGGGGTTCCAGGTGGCCCCCACCACTGCTCCAGATTCTGGGCTGGTGTCCCATGGCCAGGTCTTATATCTGGAGTGCTGCGAGTGGTGTGCTGGTTCTGGTGGATTCACCTGATGGGGCACATCTGGTCATCTGCCTCTAAGGAGAACAAAACCCCAAGGGAAAGAGAACCCATCTTTATACAAGCTTGGTCTCAAAAGTGTCTTTGTTGGTCTGACTTCTCTGCCTTCTAGAAATTTCCTGAGTTATCCCTCTTCATCTCTAACCTGGGAGAGTTATCCCTTTCCATCTTTAAAACTGACAATCATGTTTTCATTTGAGCCTCAGCAATCCTGAAAACACATACCTCTGTTGCTTAAATATTATATTAGAAAATCTTATCCAAACAGTAGCCTACTGTGTGGTGTTTTGTAGGCACTCAGCACCAACCGTTGTACTTTCACAAAGCCTGGATTTACAGATATGGATGCCAGGGCTAGAGAGCATAAGCCATTTGCACTTGTCATACAATTAATGCAGATCCCACCTGAACCCAAGTGGTGGACTTATACCACAGACTATGTGCTCTGCCACAGGCCATGTGCTATTCTGAAGCATCTATCTATGCCATCTGCTTCCTTCCCTTACTTTAGATCTATAGTTCACAGACAGGGATGGATTTTACCCCCTCCTTCCCTAGGGCACATTTTTCAAAGCTGGAGACATTTTTGGTGGTTGGAACCTAATACTGGCATCTAGTTGGTAGAGCCAAGAAACAAGTTATCCAGCCCAAGATGTCAGGAGTGCTGAGGTGCAGAAACATCACTCCATCCTTCTTTTCTCTGTCTTCCTCCTTTTAAGCCAGGGCCAGAGGTAGGGGAAGAAAGTTGTTCTGAGAGGGACTAAGTAGATGGTAAAGGTCTTCTGCCTCCATTTGCTTCCTCCACTGCATGCCCCTCACCTTCACTGTGCCTTCCACCTCTGCAGGTCCACATTGACACTAAGAGTGCCTCCCAGATGTTTGAGCTGATCCACAAGAAGCTGAAGCACACCGAGGCCTACCCCTGCCTGCTTTCTGTCTTACACCACTGCCTACAGATGCCCTGTGAGTACCCTGCACTTGCTGTGACCCTTGTCCTGGGTCCTGGTCAGGCAGGTGGAGATGAGACTTTGACACCTCTGTGGGCTGGTGAGTCTGACCACATTTCCTTCTGCACTTGCCTTTGTTAGGCCAGGGCCCATGACTCTGGCTTCTTCCTCTTTGGGATGTACAGAATGTCTACTGTCATGCAGGAGAGGAGCTGGGGACTTGGCACTGAACAACTCCAGTATCCTAGTTCAATAAGCAGTAGCTTAATCTTTGCAAAATCAGACAGCTCTGCTGTCAGCTCATGACAGAGGGGTGCTCAGTTCTCTTGTCACTTTTAAAAAGAAGCCTTGTGTTTGGAGGAGTAACCCAGATGTGCAGTGCACATGCTTATTTATTTTTTTAAAGTTTTACCAACTCTTCCAGCTAACCCTTGCTGACTCCCACCCTAATACCCTTGCCACTGCCTCTCTTCACAAATACCAAATAGTATCTCTGGAACAGGTGTCTAAGTTCTTAAGATCCAGGTGTGCACTGTGATTAAATAAATTATACATAGTTGCTAATAGCTTCCCCGGAACACAGTTTGAAATGAACTTTAACTGTACTATGTGTGTAGTACTTTGGCTTTTCACAAAGTAGAATATTTTGAAAATTTGTGTGGTCCATCAAATTCATGTGGTCAACCTAGACAGGCTCACAAAGGGGTGGTGGTGTGGCATTGATGATCATGGTTATGGTGACAGTTACAATTGATTGTATACCAGTGCTGTGCCGGGCACGCTGGGAGGTTCTTTAGCACATTTTCTCTAAACCTTAGAATGACCTGAGGAATGTTCATTACGATTTCCTTTTTATAGTGAGTGTACCTGAGGCTGAGTGAATTTTCTATATGCAGAAGGAATTTTCCTTCCTTTGGAGTCAGGGTTTTAGATGAAACATGTTCCATCTCTGTAAACCAGTGATCTGTCTTTACACTGTTTACTTGGGTGGGAAGCAAATTGGAATTTCTATCACTTAGCAATGCCTTTGTCAGTAGTCATGGAAAGGAAGATAAAGATAGTGAAGCCAACAGTTCTGACAAAACTTAGCCCATAACATCTTCACAGAGGGTATGGAAGGCCCTGAGAAACTGATTTCTTTTACTCCCTGTGGTTCCTGGGTTTGATGGCCTACAGACAATGTGGAATGAGACCTTTTATTTTGCACCCAAATGGGGCTCTGAAGACATGGTCTCCTGAATTGTAGGTGGAATTGGATGTCAGGGCTACACTTGTTGACTTCTGTTGATTGTCAGCAGAGATGAAGTGCTTGGATCATGGACCTAGGAAGATCTATCATGTGAAAAGGAAGCCCACATCCAGCCAGACTATGATTAGAGGGGATGAAAGTGGGATCTTGTAAGGTCAGGCACAACACATAATGCTTTTTCCTTCATAGTTCAAGGTCATCTCCCATGAAGAAATCTTCCTGGGTTCCATTAACTATTTCTTTAGCTCTCAGTGCACACCTGTGACCAGTTTCCATTCATCTTTATCTGTACAGCAATTCATAGATAATCCTGAAATCTTTTTAAAAATTTCCCTGAAGACTTTATTATTTTGCATGGGATATTTTAGAACAGGTGTTTTCATAGATAATGTAAAAGCAATTTGCATTCCTAGGGCTTAATATGCCCAGGGTCCCAACAGGAATAAAAAGGCAGCCAGATATAGCACTTCATGAAGTAGAGAAATATGTTAGGAGGGTTGACGTATCCACAGAAGGTCAGGTTCAGGTTATCAGTAGATGATTGGATTTGTGAGTCTCCAGCATCAGCAACAATTCTGCCTCTTCCCTCAGACTGGGAGCTTCCTGTGAAGGGAGAAGGGCATACCTCACCAGACCCAGCCAGGCTGTCATTCCAGTGCAGGGCTTCTGGGGACTCCAGGGCTCAGTACAGATATGATGTCTGTTGTCCCTCAGACAAGCGGAATGGCGGTTACTTCCAGCAATGGCAGCTCCTGGATCGCATCCTCCAGCAGATTGTACTTCAGGATGAACGAGGTGTAGACCCTGACTTGGCTCCATTGGAGAACTTCAATGTTAAGAACATCGTTAACATGTGAGTTGTGGCCAACTTTGACCTGTCCTCCGCCACCTTTCACCTCCCTCCCACTGTGATTCTCTGTAGTGAAGCCTCAGCTCCCTCTCCAACCCTGACATCACTAAATGAGTCAAGACCAGCAGTTCTGTACAATAGAATTCTCCAAGCTCATGGAGAGGCTCCATATCTTCACTGTCCAAAATGGCAGCCAAATGTGTCATGTGGCTAATGTGACTAGGGAACTGAATTTTAAATTTCATTTAAATTTGGATAACCACATGTCAGGTGGCTTCTGATTACTATATTGGACAGCACAGATATGTTGACTATAGTTTGAACTCTCCATGATCCACTGGATAGGATATATAAATGCATTTATATAGAACAATAGTCAAAAAACTATGGTGCATGGGGTAACTCCAGTTCTACCATTTGCTATTATTCAGTCCATGAACTAAGAATACGTTTTATATTTAAAATCAGTAAAACATATGACAGGTACAGTACATGCATGGTACATAAAATCTACAATATTTACTCTGGTCCTTTTCAGAAAGTTTGGTGGCCACTGACAGAGAGCATGGCCATTTGACCATAAGCCTGTTGAATGAAGGTGTCAGAGTCTGAGACCTTCTAGCTTATCATCTTTTACTGACCCAAGATATAGAGGAACACAGAAAAATAAATTTAAATTTACATTAATTAATAACAATACCTGATGTTAAATACTGATCTCAAAAAATTTACTTAATGTTTGATATGAGTTGGAGTCAATTATCCTTAATGACATAAATCAGTTCCCAATGATTCATTACAAATCATTCCAAAGCCAAGTTGAAAATGGACTTTGTACTTCTCTTGTTTTCATCTGAACAAACAGTCAGATGCTGATTTAGTTAAAACCCTAACTGGTATGTTGGACAAGTGTAACCAGTAATCAAAACACGGTTTTAGTTTTATTTTCTGCAAAATCATTTTATTATATAATGGGGAAGCTTTCCATTGCAAGTGGACGACAGTTTCTCAGCTGCAATGAAGTTTTTGCTCCTTCTTGGGCCATAGATGTCCTAAGGTCACTTTAAGCTGTTGTGATTAGGTGGATTGGTCCCAAATGTGCAACTGTGAATCAGCATTCAAGGTTTGAATTAGCTTTAAATTTCTCTCCACCACTGGCTGGAGCCCAGAGGCTGAGATGGGAAAGTGTGTGTGTGTGTGTGTGTGTGTGTGTGAGAGAGAGAGAGAGAGAGAGAGAGAGAGAGAAAGAGAGCGAGCAAGAGAGAGAGACAGAGACAGAGAGAGAGAAGACTTCTTTTCTCTATTCTGTTTTTCCTCTAACCCCTTCTGTCTCCCATCCTCACTTTCCATCAGCTAAGCAATTTCTGACCATTTTAAGAGGCAGCTTGGGGGCAGGAAGGAGAAAGGGAAAATGTCTTAATTGATTAGATGCTGTAGCTAGCAAGCCTCCTGTCCTCTCGCTTCAGCACATGGGGGAAAGATGCCTTGTGCTCTGAAAGTTCCTTCCTAAGCACCTCTGACTCCTTGTCTGTTTCCAGTCTTCCCATCACCCTTAGGTTCACTGGCAATCCACGGCACATAGTGTTCAGTGTTGCTGTTCCCTATTTTCTCCCAGGTGTACCCCTTAGGGGTAGGACTAACAATAGCTTCAACCCAGTTCCTTCATGAAGTTCACATCTAGTTCATGCACAACTCACATACCTCCCTATGTAGCAAACTCTAGGGTTGCCAGCAGGTCCCGGCACAGCCACATTCACCTGATCCATCCTTTTTCACCTTCTGGAAGACTCCTAGTCTACTTTGCTTCTCTCTCAACATTAGGAAACCTGGATCAAAAACTGGTTCCCAGAGAGCTACCTCTCTGATGGGGTGAAGGAGGTAGCACTCTAGTTACAAGGACAGTGGCTCTCCAAAGAAATCTTACCGCCAAATATTCCTTCTTCTGCATATTCTGTACCCTCTTTATACCCTTAATCTGGTTGAAGAGGCCAAAGGCATGGCTCTACCTCACCTACATTTTCACATTTACAAAATAAATGATTATTGGAATCTTACTTTGGGGTTTTACCCTTTGTTTACTTTTATGACTGGGTGGAAGCTTAATTTTAACACTTTGTTATAAGAGCTTGACAAGTATAAGGTCTTCCTGTGTTTTAGACACATCTCCTTTCACTCTCAACCCAGTCATTCTGTATTACTGGGGTTGTCATTTCTCTTACTCTGACACGTTGGTCTTTGGAAATCTGCAATATGGTAGGGTCAATATTTCTGTCTCAGATGCATAGTCCAGTTTTTTTTTATAAAGGGGTACAAGTGTTTGTACCCAAAGGAAGACTAGGATTCAGTCTTCCTTCCTGGAGGTATTCATTCTTCCTTTCTCATCTCTGGTCCCTGAGCCTCTGTGGCTTCAGTTGCATCACAAAGGTTGGATTATAAATTGTCTTGGGGTTCTTCCTTCTCTCATAGTCCTTGCAGACAGACGATGAGAACTGGGATGGAATGGGGACCTGGAGAGAAATCTGAGAAGACAACATTCTAGTTTTCTTGATGTAGCTGGTCAGGATTCCAACCTGGGGAAGAGAGAGATGGCATGGCTTCTGGGAAGCAGTGAGCTGACAGTCAGTGATCACACTGTCCCTTCCCTCTACCACCTCCAGGCTCATCAATGAGAATGAAGTGAAACAGTGGCGAGACCAGGCAGAGAAGTTCCGGAAAGGTGAGAGGTTCTGCCTAAGACTGCTGCCTGCTCCATGAGCCCCCTCCCCCCCAGCCCAGGACCCCATCTCCTCCCAAAGAGAGGGCTGTGTGCACACACTTTCTCCTCCCTTTCTCTCTCTGCTCCCACCTCATTGCAGAACACATGGAACTCGTGAGCCGACTGGAGAGGAAGGAGCGGGAATGCGAGACAAAGACCATGGAGAAGGAGGAGATGATGCGGACACTGAATAAGATGAAGGACAAGCTAGCCAGAGAATCCCAGGAGCTGCGCCAGGCTAGGGGACAAGTGGCAGAGCTGGTTGCCCAACTCAGTGAAATCGCAGTACGTAGGCAACTCATCCCTTTTACATAATTCAGGCAAGAGCTTCAGGATGGAGTAGGCAGAACAGGTATAGGGAAGAGCCAAGAACCCCAAGATAAAGGAAAAGAAAAAGGGGGATCTCAGGCCAGGACTGAAGGCTGTATGGATGGCACCTTTGTGTTAATTAGAAAAAATAATACCCCTTCCTCTGGATGACACTGTATGATGCACACTCGGACAGCAGAGTACAGTGTAGCCTGCACAACTAGATGCATAAATCCTGCTGTTTCTTGTGATGACTGTGACTCTGAATGCCGGGGTGTGTGTGTGTGTGTGTGTGTGTGTTGGATGTTTGGGATATAGAAAGAGAAAATGGGTCTAAGTGTGTGTGGGAGGTGAGAGTAGGTTTTGAGATCTAGTGAAGATGGTAAATAAGAACAAGGACTAGTGGTAGGGGACCTGATCCCCTGATCCATATCAGCACTAACTGTTTTGTCCTTTTGAATTTTCTGTCTCCTCACAGACAGGCCCTGTATCTTACCCACCTCCCCCTGGAGGCCCACTTACCTTGTCTTCTTCCGTGACAACCAATGACCTGCCTCCACCCCCACCCCCTCTCCCCTTCCCCTGTTGCCCCCCTCCACCCCCACCACCCCTCCCACCTGGTGGGCCTCCCACACCCCCAGGTGCCCCGCCTTGTTTTGGCATGAGCCTGCCTGTGCCTCCTCAGGACCCCTTCCATAGCAGTGATATCCCACTCAGGAAAAAGCGTGTCCCCCAGCCTTCCCACCCACTGAAGTCCTTCAACTGGGTCAAGTTGAATGAGGTGAGCAGCAGAAGGGGTGAGTGGGTCCATTCCCTGCAGCCAGTGACAAGTAGTCTCTGCTTACACAAATCCTTCTAGAGTTCTTACTTTGTTGTGTATGGACAGTCAAAAGATGGGTTTTCTGGAGTCAAGCAGCTCATTGTCTGCTAGGGAGACATCTGCACTGGAAAAGATGCTTGGCACTTGGTCATGTTCATGTTGGTGAAGCCACCTACAAATGAACCTGTGTGTGCTAGGGGTGAATGGAGCAGTTGACATCGGAGCCTGGACCAAACCAGGTGATTTCCAACAAGACAGGGCTGGGCAAGAATTTCCAGGAGAGGGTTGATTTGAGGAAAGGGGTGGAAGATTCAAGCAATAACATTTTGGGTTGAAGTCCAGGTTTAGGTCAAAAATCAAAATCACTGCAATGTATACAATAAACTGAAGAGTTTGAAAGCAAGAGAGCCATTGAGGCATTCACCTGCCCAGAGTGAGGAACTGTACATACCACATTTAGTGAGAGCCTTCGTGGGTATTATCCACTTATAATCACCAATCCTAGGCCCACAGGTGGGGGGTTCATTCCTCTATTAGACCCTTGTAAGTATAGAATAGAGATGCCCTGAGTCTCACTAGATCACTAGTGATTAAACAGCCTGGACAAGTCCTACCCCTGGTTCTGTAAGATGACGAGTCTGATTTAGAGGACTCACAACTTTATCCCTGAGGCAAACAACTTGTTTCAGTTAGCTTGACCCTTATCCACACCTTAACCATGTAGACACTAACTTGGAGCTAGGGCTTATGGATCTACTCAGACCCTGCTATATGGACCTATTGGACTCACTTATAGGGAATTCATAATTTAGCATTGTGTCTAAGCACTGATGAACTCAGATGACATTTAAGTAGGAAGAGATATTAAGTATACAAGAGATGGCTGAGTAGATGGTCAGCTGTTTGTTAGATTCCTCCTCCTGATGGTAGACCAGCTGGCCATTTAGACTTGGTGACAAGATGAATAATGATAATGGAGAGAGGATACACTGCCCCGTGGGAGTTTAGGGTCTGGCAACTGGGAAGTGTACTTAGGAAATACCTAGAGATACTGTGGATGGGTTGAGGGAAAGCTGCTAGCCTCTAACCAAACTTGGTTTGGCCCTAACTAACTGTGCAACCTGTGTACATCACTCATCTTGTCTATAACTCAGTTTGCTTGTCTGTGATATGATCCCTAATATCCCTTCCATCTCTGTTTTCAGAATCTAGATGAAAACAGTCAATGTGACTATAGCTCACTTATTGTCCCCATGATAACATCTCCAATCTGAGTTATTAAAGTGTTAGAGCAGTCTGTTAACAGTGTTTCTAAGCAAGATTGTTAAAGTTTAAGACAACTATGCTGCACAGTTGTGCCCTAAGGGTGTCATTTCATGGCCAAGGGGTGAGAAAGCCAGAAAGGCCAACTGAGTAATATTTGAGGCCAGTTGCAAATTGCTCTTCATAACCAAAAGCCATGGGCTATGTGGAAATGTTCATTGTTCATAAGCAGAAATAATATATTTTTGCATTGTGGTTAAAAATGTTTTTGTCTGTTATAACTGCAACTTATAATTTAAGATTTTTAAAAATGCAATGATAAGTTCTAATATGCACAGTGACAAAGGAATGCAGAGGAGGTAACTAATATTTTGTGGTATTTTCATCATAGGGAGTTTTGTGCTTAGAATTTTCTTTCAGGTCTGGTAATAATAAAGTCTACATGAAGTGTCATTATTAGACTTGAAAGTATGGGTTTGATGGAGTGGACAATAAAGTGACTTCGGTGGTCGGAGTGGGATGGAAGAACATTGGATAATACTTGAGAACCTACTATCCCATTCCAACCTTTATTTATTTATTTATTTAGGATAGAGTCTCACTATTTAACTCAGGCTGGCCTGGAACTCACAATCCTCCTGAGTACTAGGATTACACATGTGCACCATTATATCTATCCTGTCCCAAGCTTTTAATTGTGTGAGAAGGGCAGGTTATTTAACTGTTTGGGCTTAATATTCCTGATCTATAAAATGGGAATGATGATAATATCCATCTCAAAAGACGGTTGTAAGAACTTATTTACTATGTATAAAGTCCTTGGAACAGTGCTGCATAGAAAGTCTTAATAATAACCACATTGGATTAGCTATTAGTAGTGGTACTTCTGTATGTGCTTTAAGTAAGCTATCTCAGTCCGCAGTCAACTCAGTGAGGTAAGCCTCAGTGGTACTCAGTTTTCTGTGACTTGGGATAAGAATAGCATCCTACCATTTGCCCATAATGGCAGGGCTGGGAATGTCAGCCAGCTGAATCTCCCTGGCCCCAAAGGCAATGCTCTTTGAGGGCAACATAATGAAGTCTTTCGTGAGAAAGACTTCCATGGCATTTATATGCATATCTCTAGAGGGCCAGAAGTCCTAAGAATCTAGACTGGAGATGACAGAGTCTTGGCTAGAGTGGTGGAAAAAATAAATTTGAGAACTATCACACAAGGTGGGCACATTGGAGTGACGTGATGAAAGTGTAGTGAATATTGGGAAAAGGGCTACTTCTCTCTGGCTCTAGACCCAGTTATACCTCTACTAGCAGTTCAAGTCCTTCTGGCGGATGTGGAGGAGCCAGGGTGAGGGACAGGCAATGTTTAGGAAGAAATGAAAGAGGTGATTTGTCTGCTGCTTGGGGGAATCTCTTCTCAGTGTTCAACACCCAGCTCGCTTGTTCCAGCCTTTTCATTCTTGAGTTGGTCTCACCAAGAATAAAGAAGATAGGAAGCTTTATCTCTGTGGCCTTCTCTCTCCCTCCTCCTTCCACCCCTGCACAGGGGACTCTGGGTCACTTAGCACACCATGCTGCTTCAACTACTCCCTGCTCCACTTCCCTGACTTCAGCTCCCCTTCCCATTCTGTCCCTTTCTAAGAGCACAGCTCCTCTTCCCAGTCCCCTTCCTCTACCCCACACACGTACGCGCGCACACACACGTGCGCGCGCGCGCACACACACACACACACACACACACACACACACACACACAGTGGTGGTTTCTGCCATGAAAAGAATGTGTCTGTGTTGGTTTTGGCCACTTGCCTGTTTCTCTTGCTGCTCTGAGCTTCCCAGCCCGGCATTCCACACGAGGGTCCCTGGCCTTAGGAAGGCCACAGGAATGTCCCCTCACCCCCACCCCCAACTCTGGCCTAGCCTCCCCTTTTCAGAGTTTAAGAAAATAAAAGTGAGTGAAAGGTATGTTTCTCTCTGCAAGCCTTCTGAGAGGGGATGTAGGGAGGAGAAGGATATATCAAGAAGGTTCTCTGGCTGCTTTCAAGGCAGAGGAAGGCAGGAGATTCTCTTTGTAAGAACAGCAAAGCTCTGGATGAGGTGCAGATCCCTGGGGGGGAGGGGTGGAACACACTGGAGGGTGCTAGAAGCTATGAGCAGAGTGTTACAAGACAGCTGGGGCAGTTTTTGGCTGGGCTTACAAAGCTCCCTTCCAGACCTTGGTGCGAGGGTCCTTCACAGAGATGGGTCAATGCCTCACTCAAGAGACCCTGGAATGTGAATTTTGGGATCCATCCCAGTCCTAAAGGATGGGGACACCTTCCCTGGGTCTGACCAGCGGGAAGTTGTGGCAGAGTCTTGCTGCTATGACAGTCACTATAAAGGCCAGTGTGTCCTAACCTTTGGCATTTGTCCACTTTCTGGGAATCTGGGAAAGTAAGAACAAGACCCTGGGAAAGAAAATGAGCATCTCAGATCCAGGAAGTTCAGTTTATGCAGAGGCTTTGAGGATCCCAAATATATGTGAACATTGATCCTTCTGGTGACTCCAGTCAGTGATGGGAGCAGCCTCCAGTCACCCCTGCCCTTCACCCCTGTGCAGTGTGCCCTGGGAGCATTGCTTTTGGTTTTGCTTTTCTGGAAGAAGCCTAGTGCACAAAACCCCCTTTCACTTTTGCCCATCCATCACTTAGCACTATCAGTGATTTCTGGGAAATGCTTATGTGTGGTCCCTTGTGAAAAGAGGTTGTACTAAGCCTCTACTGAGAGCAGAATACTGAAGAAAGGTGGAGGAGTAGGGATACCCCCTTTCTGAAGGCCTGAGAGCCTGGCCATTTTAGCATGTGTTGCTGAGGAACAGGTGGGGTTAGGGAAGCACTGGGAACTCCAGTTTGAAGTGTTGGGTCAACCATGTGGTCTTCTCTCTATTCTGAATCTCAGGAGCGTGTCCCTGGCACTGTATGGAATGAGATTGATGACATGCAGGTATTTCGAATTCTGGACCTAGAGGATTTTGAAAAAATGTTTTCAGCCTATCAGAGGCACCAGGTAAGACCCTGCCTACTCCATTTTCTTAGGTCTTGACTTCCAGTCTTGAAGCACACCCTTGAGTTCAAACCTTATTCCCTTCCTTCCTCCCATCCTCCCTCCTTCCTATCTCCTTCCTCCCTTTTTGTTCCTTCTTCACATATATACTAAGTGATTTTATTCATTATGAGGTATCAGGAATGTGGTGTACAGGTCCAATAGGGAAGACACCGTGGTGTTACAGCCTATATTTTTACATCAAATGATGAAATAGTACTTTGTCCATGTCTCTTTTTTATTCTAGAGCACAGGAGGTAGAGTCCCAAGGCCTAGTCACCGTTGTCCTTCCTCTCTTTGGTCCAGGATCTAGAGCCTATACTTGGAAAACATTGCAATTTTTTTTTGGTGGTACTAGGTTTGAACTCAGGGCTTCATGCTTGCTAAGCAGGTGTTCTATCCCTAGCCATTGTATTTTTTCAACCTACTTTTCTCACTGTATTCTCATCTCCCAGCCTCCCCATGAGTCTCTTAAGCAGAAGATATAAATACTTAAAGGAAAGGCTGCTATTCCAGGTCACTTTAGGGAGTCAAGGCTGGGGCTGAGTCCTAGAAGGCTGGAGAGAAACTAGACTACTCTATGAGCTCTGTGTATACACGGCTGGCTAGTAAGTAAGTCTGACCCTCTAGCTGCAGAGGAAATAGGGGAAGTGAGTTGGTGGCATAACACAGGGTAGTGCTGAAGACATGTCTCAAACTATGCCAAGATCCTGTGGGGTTACCAGAACTGCTGATTCTCAGACCTCATCAACAAATATGGAATGTAATTCAGCATACAGGTTGTGGCCCAGGAATCTGGCTATAACCTGGGGGCCTTCCTCCCAAGTCCAGTTGGGCAATGACCAGGCTAGAGGTCTTGCTTTCTCTTTGATCTACTCAGAGGGACTGCTTTCATTTGGGGTTGTGGTATCATCTTCTCTGTTCTTTCTGCTCTGCCCGGGGCTTTAGCCTTGAGGATTTCAATGGGCTCTGAGTGCTGCCCAGGACACTGTAGCGTGATTCCCACAGATCTGAAGAGGGTGCCCTCTCCTGCTCTTTGCCAAATTCAGCCTGGGAATGACCCTTCCTGAGGGCAGTTGTGACCAATGACACATGTGACTACTCCTCCGGCCCTGGCTAAACAGGTGATGTGGTGGTCATGCTTTGACCCTGTGTTAGGATTCTAAAAACAAAAAATGGATGATTGTTTATTTGATTTAAATATAGGTGCCTGAGGCTTCTGATTCTGTACTCCTAATTCCAGGAAGCATTTTATCTCATGCCCCTGTGGGGCTGGCATGGCCACAGGCAGCAACCAAGGCTGTGAGAGCTGGAAGGAGCTCTGTGAACATTGGCACTCCTAGGAACCAGAACTCCCCAAGTGGTTCTGGGAACAGGAGGAGTATGTGCGGGGGTGTGTCTGGCATGGCAAGCGCATGCCTCCCCCTAATTTGCAAGTCTTCCTCTAGGAAAGGGTTGTGGCCTAGCCAATCCAGTCTCCAGAGGTCTGAAGGGGCCCGTCAGGAAAGAGTAGGTTTGGGGCTTTGGACAAACTAGGTCTTGGGCCTCCCAGCTTGGTGAGTTGAGAAGAGCTAAGACTGAAAGAACTTTCATCTGTTCCTCTCACTTCTGTGAACCTACTTTATCTAGCCTCCTATTCTGGGATGATGTCCATCCTGGCTATGCTTACATGGTGAACATGGAACTGAAGTCACAGCAGCAAAGCTAGAGCTATCCCATGATGCCCTGGTCACCCACACTCCCTCTCTTGGGGCCCTGGGCAGTGAGCTATGGGGCAAGGGAGGTCCTGGGAGTTGTGGCCTTCCCTCCATATCCTAGGCAGGTTCTGAGTTGGTGACGGATACTGATATTCCATTAGTATCAGGAAAGGAGAATGTAGGTACAGATTGTCCCTCCTCAGCTCCCCTTAGACATCAGAGAACAGACAGGCAAGGAACAAATTCAGGGGTGTCTGCTTTTCCTGCCCCAGTGAACAGAACTTTCATGAGTTACAGCTCACATTCATGTCTCTCTTGTATTGAGAAAAATGAGGTTACACCCAGGGGAAGGAATGGCCTCTGCCCTCTTGACACATTCTCAGCAGAGGAGAAGGAAGAACAGGCAGGCAAGGCCCAGGGTGGTTGGCATGCTCAGGGCCTGGTCATCCCTGACTGGGGAGCAGTGATCCCCCTGGGCCCAGAGCTGGTGGAGGAGCTGCCTGATCTCTGCTTGTTTGGCTTCTCTATGGGTGCATGTCTGCTAGAAGCAGCTGCTGTTCAGGGCTACTTCCAGGTTCCTGTCTCCAACCATGGGGATCTCCTGGGGACAAAGTGGACAGAGTAAATGCCAAGGATCCCACATCTGTTCTGCTGTTCCTGGGTCCCTGCACCTCTTGACTAACGTTGTGCATGTTTAATTCTCTGTTGGCTGTGGCTGCTACCTGCATAGGAGCTGATAACTAATCCTAGTCAGCAGGTGAGTCACACTTGGGTCATTGAACACCAACTCTCAACCACTGTCCTGGGCTACAGCCCTGAACTGGGCCCAGGAGAGCCAGTTTCTTCATGCCACCTCCTGCCTTATTGCTCATTCATATAGGGAGGCATGCAGGAGGGTCCCCAAAGAGAAAGAGAAAATATAGGAGAAGGAGAGAGTGCAAGCAGACCTCTGTCATCAATGGAGGCGGCTGTCTACTGGAGCGAAGAAAAAGCTTCTAGGTCTATTGTCTCACCCACCAAGCCCAAGGCAAGGCTTTCCACTATGACTGTGCACTGCACAATTCCAGGGGTACAAAGATAATGCTGTATGTGTATAGTGATCCCTGGAGTTGTGCTCTGTGCAACATGTGCTTAGTGGAAGCTCCCAGAGTAATAGCAGTGCACTAGATAGACTTCTTTCTCCCTCACTGGGTGCCCAAGGGAAGGAGGGGATAGGATTTTTAATTCTGCAGGCCAAAATCCCAGAGGAGACAATCTTGAGTGGAATTCTTTCTCAGTTTCCATACCTCTGACCTTGTGGATGCCCTTTACCATGGGCATTGGGCTGCTCCTGAAGTCTCCAGGAGTCAGGAATTGTGACCTTATAGGGACTTGGACCAACTTCTCTTCATAAGCCTGTGGAGGCTCTGGGGGTTGGTGGGGGATGTGGTAGGTCTTATCACATCGCCTGAAGCCAGAGAGATCAGCCCCAGCTTCCCCTATCACATCAGCCCCTTCCCTAGGTTGGCCAAAGAGAATCATCTCTAAGATGGGGACTCTTCACTGTCACCAACGTGTGAGAGTGGGTTGTTAAACAACTTCCTCTCCTTCCCTGTCTTTTCTCTCCCTTCCTCTCTTCCCTTCATATCAGGGGCCTCCTCAGCTGGATGTGGGTGGCTCCTGGGGGGAGTTGGCAAGAAGAGGATTGAGGAGAACCCATATCTGAGTGCTCCCCCTTGACTCATTGCTTGCAGAAAGAGCTTGGCTCCACTGAGGACATCTACCTGGCCTCTCGTAAGGTCAAAGAACTGTCAGTCATTGACGGCCGGAGAGCCCAGAACTGCATCATCCTCCTCTCCAAGTACGTGCTTGCCTCTGGGGTCTGTGCTGTGATGGCTTCCAGTGCGAGGAGAAGGGCTTTTGCAAGGTGCAGAGCTAGGTCTAGCATGAAAGGAAGTGGTCAAGGGGCTGGTGTGTAGCTAAGAGATAGAGCACATCCTAGCACTACAAAACTCCAGACCTTGGCTTCTATCCACCACAAAATAAAAAACAAAGAAGTTGTATGGAAAGAGGTGGCAGAGAAATGGGGTAATGGCAGTGTTTGACCTCCCTTCTCTGCTCTCCCTTGGGAAGGGGGCAGGCACTGATCTAGGCCCCTTCTTGGGAACCATGTTGACCAGCGGGGTAGGGCTCTGTAGACAGGAAACTGCCCTAGTTACAAGCCCCCGACTGGCCTGGTCAGCATCTGGCAGCTGAGTTGCTCTTAGCCCTTGGAGGGCCCACTTGGCTTAGGCCACAGAGCAGCATGATCTCAACCCCCAAGCATTTCCCGTGGTTGCAGAACAAACAGGGCAGTATCTGCACTAACAGCACAGCTTCTGTGCAGGGCCTCCCCCAAGCTGGGGTCAGGGGCCAGCGCCTCCCAGACTATTCTTAGTGCTGCCCCCAGTTGCCTCTTGGACATCTGGCTCCTCTGTCTTCCCACAAGGCCCCAGGCCTCAGTTTCTTCCACTTGATGTTGGTGGTGGTGGGGTGCTGATGGTGGGGGGTGGTTCCCACTGGGTATGCATGATGAGGGGATAGGTAAGGGTGCATATAGGGGGTTGGCTGGTCCCTTTTTCAAACAGCAAGACTGATTGGAGTAGCTGTGTTGAAGCTGGACACTGTCAGAGATTGAGAATGATTCTGTCTCTTGAGAATGAAAGAGGCAGGAAACGGTCCCCTCAGTGGCCTGCTGAAGTCCCATCCTCCCATGGAGATGATATAGACTTCTTAGGCACGAGGAGGAGGGTCAGTCAGAAATCCTTTGGCCTGTCTCTTCGGTCTACACTGAAGATGCCTCTCTTACTCCCTCAGCTCTGACAAAGCCTCAAGTGAGACATCAGGGATGTGAGTCTCCATTAGACACTAAGAAGCTGATTACTAGGTAGATGGAGTGTGTCATCAGTTCAGTCTATCATATCAGTTTGCACAGGTAGTGCAGTGGGGGACCATCAGTGTACATTCAAGTCCACATTAGGGGGAAAGGGGAGGGTGAGGTTGTATTGTCTGGAGAAGGTTTGGGGACTTCCCTGAGCTGAGGGCCAGGCCAGATTACTCAATATAAGTTTGATACAGGCTAAAACTTTCTAATGAGGAGATCCGGCAGGCCATCTTGAAGATGGATGAGCAGGAGGACCTCGCTAAGGACATGCTGGAACAGGTAAGGACCTTCACAGGAGGGAAGGGAGCCAAACCCTTCCCAACAGTTCCCAGAGAGGCTGAAACTTTTGGGTCAAGGAGAAATCAAGATGGAGGAGTTGGGGGAGAAGGTTTCTAGAAACTTCCCTGGACTACCCTTTCTCCAGAAAAGGTTGCAGGGATCGTCGAGGGGCTTAGAAGGAGTTATGAGGTATAAACCACAATGAGTCCTATAGCAAAGTCATAGTGGAAAGTAGTCATATCTTCCCCAAATCTCTTCCCTCAATTTGTTGTGTCCTTTAAGAAAAACCTAGAATATACTTACTAAAGGCAACATCACTGTCCACTGAAAGGAACTAGAGTGAAAACACAAACCGAACCTTAGAAGAAGATATTTGCCACATATAGTATATATAAAACTAATATCTACCAAATATCTCAAATTCACAATGAAGAACTGTACAAAGCAATGAGAAAATGGCAAATAAGTGAACTAAAAATGAACAAAAGGCTGGGCACCAGTGGCTCTCACCTGTAATCCTAGCTATGTGGAGGCTGAGATCAGGAGGATCATGGTTTGAGGCAGCTAGGGCACAAAGTTTGTGAGACACTCCTCCCCTATTTCAATTAATAACTAGCTGGTCATGGTGGCATGAACCTGTCACCCCAAGCTACTTGGGAAGCTGAAATTGGGAGGATTATGATTTCAGGTCAGCCCAGGCAAAAAAGTTTGTTAGACACCCCCCATCTCAACTAAAAAAAGCTGGGCATGGTGGTATATGGGAAACAAAATAGGATTGTGATCCAGGCTGGCCTGGGCAAAAAGTGAGACACTATCTCTAAAATAACAAGAGGAAAAAGAACTGGAGGCATGGCTCAAGTGGTACAGGATCTGCCAAGAAAGTACAAAGCCCTGAGTTCAAAGCCCAGTACTGTAAAAACAAAAACAAACAAACAAAAAGGGCAAAAAGACTTGGACAGGCACTTTATAAAAGATTTCCAAATGGCCAATAGGAATGTGACAGGGCTCAATACTATTTGCCATCAGAAAAAATATAGTGAACCACAATGAGGTTGTACCGCACACCCAGCAGAACCACTAAAAAGAAAAAGACTGACAATGCCAAGTGCTGTCAAGGATGTGACACGATTGGAGCTCTCAGATGGCATACTCACTTTGGAGAACTATTCAATAGTGTGCATTAAGGCTAAACATACACCTACACTACTGCCTAGTCACCCCACTCATAGGTATTTACTCAGGAGAAACCAGGATATACTAACAGATATACACAAGAATAGTTACAGCAACTTTATATATAAAACCCCTAAAGTATAAACAACTCAACTGTTCATCAGTAGGAAGGTGAATATATAGACTGTGGTATATTCATACAATAGAATACTACTCAGCAATAAATAAAAACTAACTATTGATACTCAGCTTAGGTGACTCTTAGACATTATGTCGAGTGAAAGAAGCCAGATGCAAAAGAGAACATCCAGTGTCTTGGCCCATTTTCTATTGGTTTAACAAAACACCTGAAGCTGATTAGTTTATAAATACTAGAAGTTTATTTATTTGACTCATGGTTCTGGAGGATGGAAAGGCCAAGCGTGTGGCACCAGAAGTTGCTTGGCATCTGGTGAAGGCCTTCTCCTGTCCTCACCTGGGAACATCACATTTAGAGAACAAACACCCCAGCTTGGATCACTCTTCCTTTTTGTATCAGGCCACTAATGGCTTTGAGGGGCCCCACACTCACGACCTCATCTAATCCTAATTACCTCCCAAAGGTTCCACCTCTAAATATCATTAACATATGAATTTAGGGATTATATTTCCATATGTGAATTTTTGGAGGGATGAATTCAAGCCATAATATATGGCAGAACATCCAGCAGTTTAAGCCCTCCTCCCATCTTTTTTTGTTGTTGTTGTTTGAGGATCTAACTATTTGGTCCAGACTTACCTGCAACTTGCTGTGTAGCCCAGTTGGCCTTGAATTTGTACTCTCCTTGCCTCAGCAGGTCCCTTCCCATCTTGAACAGAGTTGGTGTATAGCTTTCTCATACACTGCACCCCTATATCAGACACTCACCAGTTTCTTGTTGAATTTGCACCTGCTCTTTGCAGCTCCTCAAGTTCATCCCGGAGAAGAGTGACATTGACCTTCTTGAGGAGCACAAGCATGAGATTGAGCGGATGGCCCGTGCTGACCGCTTCCTCTATGAAATGAGCAGGTCAGGGCAGTGGACATGACCGAAGGGGCTGGTATTGGGGCAGTGGATTCTGCCAAGGGACAGGAGAGTGAGGTGGGCAGGCTCAAGAGGAGGAAAGAACTGGCTCCTGTTGGCAGATGGGTCTGGTGGTGGCAGCCTCCTGAAGTAGCTCACCCGGTTTACAGGATCGACCACTATCAGCAACGACTTCAAGCCCTGTTCTTCAAGAAGAAATTCCAGGAGCGGCTGGCAGAGGCCAAGCCCAAAGTGGAAGGTAAGCCTGGGGGCTGCAGGAGGCCTGGAGTGGAGAGGTATCTGGGAATCAATGAATAAAAGCAAAGGGAAACTCCTTCCTTACCCTTGATCCCAAAGAAAAACCAAAGTCAGGAACAAAATTTAAAACTAAATTATTGTAGAAAGCGTGGCACTCCTTTATATTAACATATGTGCCAACCATGTGGTACATTCCTACACCTCATCACTCACGTTCCCCAGGGCAGGGGATCTGTTGACATCTGCCCGAAAGTGGAATAGAAACTACGAGCGGATAAAGATCCATCCAGGACCTGGGACCAGGATTGGCATGCATTGAGAGTATCCATCCTTCCCTACTTGAGAGGTACATAGAAGACCTCTGGGTACATTTTTAAGTGTGAGCTATTCAGAAAGTAGGCAGCTGTGTAAGGTGGTTGCTGGTGGCCTCTAGTTTTCCAAGTGAGAGTAACTTCTGATACTGACCATCTCCAAATGAGAAATTTGTAAGTAAACAAGAACCATGTGCCAAGCACATGTGACACTCAACATGGATGGCTCACTTGACTCGCAATTTCAAACCAATCTCAAACAGTTTTCACCAGTCCCATGGGTGGGTACTGTCATTACTGTCTGTGTGCCTCCTTTTCTTTCATCTCTAAAAGGGATACCAGTGTGGGCTGAGGCCGTGTTGCTGGTAGGTGTTGGAGCCAGGGTGGGATTCTTCCATTCCTTCACTCTTGTCCTGTGTTACTGCCCAGAGGGCATCTCCTTGGGACTGCGTATGGGGATGGTTGAGGACTGAGGGGCAGGAAGTTATGTGAAAGGTGAGAGAGTAGCATGGTGGGCAGACAGACGTGCACTCAGGAGGGCGAAAGCAGGAGGAGAAGCTGGGACAGGCAAGGACAGGATCATTAGGGCAAGAGAACAAGAGAGACTGTTCTAGATGTGGAGGGTACCAGGCTGGGGGCAGAGCAGAGCACGGGCACCCCCTGCTGGACACCAGGGTCAGTAAGCACTCCCTGAAACCCTGTCCGGAGTCGGGCCCAGAGGGTTGCTTTAGGAAGGATTTGGGAGCAGAATGAAGCATGCAGAGCTAAAGACAGACATTTTCTGTATGTGCATACATGCTCACACAGCAAAGGACCTGAAGATTGTGAAAATAGATAGTCAGTATAATCCTTCTAAAGGAAAAGGAAAAATGTCAGGGGCAACTCTCCATCTCTAAGGTTTGGCAGTATCTCTGTGCCCTGGTGATGGGTGAATCCTTATCTTCATCTCAACTTTCTTCTTGCTGCAGGCTGCCTTTGAGGCAGGAGGCACAGATAAGGGATTCAGCCCAAGATGTAGGTGCTCAGCTTTTTGTGTATCTTGGGTCAATGGAGTGAATGTGAGCAACTGCTATTTGAATCTATGGAACCAGAGTAGCTTAGCCACTGGGAAGGTTTAATCTCAAATGGTTTCCTGCTCCCAAGACCCATTCCTGAGCTCTCTCTCCCCAAGTCAGCCAGTGTGTGCTTTGGTAAAGGCTTCCTTTAAGAGCAAGCTATACAGAGTGAGACATGTTTGGGAAAGTTGCTCTTCTGTAAGCTGTGCTGTGTAAAAATTGCTCTGCTATAGCAATGATTGCTGCCCGTGAGTGACCAAGAGCTAGGTAGGGAAGAGATGCCTGAAGTTGTTCTTTATAGAATTGGATCAGTGTGCTTGACTGGAGTGGAGAGCAGAGGGAGTTGGGTTCACAGTTCTCCTTCCAGTTCTCCCAGGAAGTATTCTTGGAGTGGCTAAGATTGAGCTTACCCCCAGATGAGTACTGAGCCATTGACACCCACCCTCCTGTTCCCCAGCAGAAGCTCTGGGTCAGTTGCCAAAAAGCCAATTTACCAAACTTGACAAAATTACCAATTCTAATATGAATTTATTCATGAATATACTCTTCAATATTTTCTTATGAATATGTTCATTGCTGAGTAGACCAAATTTACTGATTCGCATTAGAAATACATTCACTAGATATAGTTGAGATGAGTATAGTTGCAATTGTAACATCCTTGTGAATGTATTCATGGATATATCATTCTTGTGAATATATTAAAAATGTCAGGATTGCAATATGGAAGTTTTCCCAGTTACACTGATTTCCTTTGAATTCTTGTCATTTTCTGTTTTGCCAACATTTTAGCGTTTTTAAAGTAAGATTCCTTTGCAAATTTTCAAATAGCATATCAACTTAAAAAAAAATCACTCCAACCAATATAAATTGCTGGGATCTTTTATAAGTAGTTTTTTTTCCAGGTAAACTTTGTGTTTCTGTTTTTATCTATCTATCTATCTATTTATTTATTTATTTTGGTGGTTCTGGAATTTGAACTCAGGGCTTTGTGCTTGCAAAGCAGGTAACCTACCACTGAATTACACCTTCAGTTGTAAAGTTTTAAATGAAATATGGCATGCAAGTAGAAAAATACAAAAATCACAAGAGCCCTATTTGATAAATAATCATAAAGTGAGTTCCTCTTATGTAATCAGTACTCAGGTTAAGAAAGGGAATTTTCTAGATTCCAGGACCCTCCTTTATATCCTTCTCCCAAACTTTACTCCCTTCTGACTACCCCTTCCCCCCTCCTCTCCAACTGTAGCGGCTATCTTGACTATTTTGAACTTTATATAAGTGGAATAATATATTGTGAATAATCTTATGCTGGCCTGTTTTGTTCAACATTATGATTGTAAGTTATCCCTAGTGATATATGTAGCATTGGGTTATTCATTTCTCGGTGCTGCATTTTATTCCATTACTTATAGTCATGCCAAAACTTACACATTCTAATTATACTTTTTAAAACTTTGGAACAACCCAAATACCCATTAAGCATAATGGTGCTTTTAGTTCAACTTAGAACATGCCTATGTTCAATGTAGAAGTTACTGATAGCTCTCACTTATTTCTCATTTTTCCAACTTCTTTTTCATAGTTACTCAATTTTAACTGCCTTTGAAGTTTTCTGGAAACTCTTAGTGTTGAGTTTTCCTTTTGTCTTCATAAGCAGATCTTAAGGAATTTTCAGTTTGGCATAAGCCAAAGACCATAGGATGGCTTAGTCTTCTTATCACCACTTTTAATATTCAAAAGCATATTCTTTAACCAGTAGCCAGTGTTGATGTTTCATTTCTGAAATTCATCATAAATACATAATTGCTAAGGAATGTCAGAATGAAACACTGAGCTTTTGGTTACTGTTGGCTTCAGTTTATAGTTCAAACAAATTTATCATTTAACCATTGGAGGGAAACAGTTGAAAAGCCCAAAAGTTGAAAACATTTTACAAATGATATTCAGCAGAATGTCAAGTAAGTTATTTTACCAAATCTAAGACATCATCAACTATAAAGAACGCTGTTACTTTATGGAACAAAAGTAATACAGGAATATTACATTTGCTAATGTGTTATAATTTTATCAGTGGATTTGTTTTCTTTCCCAAAAAGTCAGTAAAATACAGACTTTCAAAATAAGCAGACATACCCTATAATATGTAAGCTGCAGAAAGTAAAAATTTTAAGACTGGGTCTAGAATAGCAGATGCATATTCATAGAAAGAATATGATGATCTTTATGTGCAAGACAAGATATTTTCAAACACATTCTTAGGAAGAGTTGGCACTTTCTGAGAAAGGGCTGTCTGGGGGCTTGGCCTCTGGTGAGTTGGTCTGTTTCCCTGGAAGTGGGGTGTGGGGATGAGAAGTGGAGGGGCTTGCAGAGAGTGGGTAAGTTCTCTGCTACCTGAGAGTTGGAAACACTCAGTAGGTCCTTCTTGAACGTTATGGTGGCATCTTTCCAAGGTGTAAGGGGACCAGCTGCCCTGTAGCACACTGTGTAGGGCTCTGACCTATCCCTCCTCTCTCAGCCATCCTCCTGGCCTCCCGAGAGCTGACCCTCAGCAAGCGTCTAAAGCAGATGCTGGAGGTGGTCCTGGCCGTCGGTAACTTCATGAACAAAGGGCAGCGTGGGGGCGCCTACGGGTTCCGGGTGGCCAGCCTCAACAAGATTGCTGACACGAAGTCTAGCATTGACAGGTGGGGACCCATCTGCTTCCCCAGCTTCCATCTCTCCCCACTCTGACTTCTTCCCTCCCTCTTTTCTCTCTCCTCTATTTCTCTTCTCAAGACTCCTTGCCTGTTTTCCTTACCACTCCACTCTTGCTTCCTCCTGGCCCTCATTCCCTGTTTTCCTCAGCCCCTTACCCCTGACTTGGCTGTCATCCACAGAAACATCTCTCTGCTCCATTATCTGATCATGATCCTGGAGAAGCACTTTCCTGACATCTTGAACATGCCTTCGGAGCTGCAGCATCTTCCAGAAGCTGCCAAAGTCAAGTAAGGGGTCCCTTCCAGACTTCCTTCTCCCCACGATCACACACTCTCTGACTTTCCTTGTTTGGGGCCTCTAGGAATGAGCAGTGTCTCAGGGCATGCTTTTGGAAGAACCAAACAAAGGCAGTTGGCTTTCAAGTTCTTATTTCAGAGGTGCTTCCAGAAAACATCAAGTAGAGGAGTAGAGAAGTGAGCCATGTAAAAAAGAATGCCATTAACAGGAATATTATCACTGTGGGTAAATAGGAGCGAGTGTAGAATACTCTCTCTGGTGATCCCACCCAAGGGATGAGAGTCCTGGGGCAGTCATTCAGTATCCTGTCAGTCATTGGCTAAGGGGCTATGGGTACAGGCAGAGGGGGCCAACCCATAATAAATGCACACCAGTTAGAAGAGTGAGGGCCATGCACCGTAGTGGGTGGGGTACCGACAAGATGTGCTACAGCGCTTAGGCCTGAACACATGCACTGAGAGAAGCCACCTCCATTAGACACAGAAATGCAGTCAGTGGCTAGCATGTGGCACATGGTACTGCACATAAGATACCCTGTGTCTAAGTTCATTTTCTGTTGCTATAACAGAATACCAGAGACTGGGTAATGTATTCAAAAAATAGGAGCTTATTTGGCTCATGATTCTGGAGGATTGGAAGTTCAAGAGCATGGTGTGAGGATCTGCTCAGGATTTGGTGCCTCATATCATGACAGAAGGTTTCACAGGGCAGGACAGGGCAAGTGAAAGCCACAAATGCCATCACAGGAGCTCCACCCTCATGACCTCATCTGATTCTAATTATTTCCCAAAGACCTGTCCTCCAAATTTGCATTTGAGGATTAAGTTTTCCATACATCAATGTGGGGAGTGGGGGGACATATTCAAATCACAATACCCTGTTAAGGGCTGATAAACATTATATGCTGGTTGTAAAAATAAATAAATCTAAGACAGAGATCAGGTGAGAAACCTGAACTATGTAACATTACATTTCTGATCTTTAAGGCTCTATGGAACTGAACTTTCACCCCATATGTTATAGAAGCAGTGGCAGGCATGGAAGGATGTGATTTATCAGGGTTACCATGCATCAGTAGCCTAAGTAGGACTGGACCCAGTTCTATTGATCCCCAGGCCATCATACTTCAAGCTGCCCTCTCCCTGAACCAGCATCCATTTCTCATGTTGAGCTGATATTCTCTTTGCCTTTCCTGTCTCCCTACAGCCTAGCAGAGCTAGAGAAGGAGGTGGGCAACCTCAAGAAAGGCCTACGAGCTGTGGAGGTGGTGAGTACATAGTTAGGTCTGCTGTGTTTGTGGGGAGGCCATCAGAGGAGAAGCTGCTCACACTGCCATCGCTGGATATGGTGGTGTACCCCCAACAGCAGAATACTACCTGATGCATTTCTGTGACCCAAGGCTCCTGATCGCGTGTTAGAACAACTGGTACAGTGGGCATAGCCCTCAGGAAAGAGTGGCTGGATTGTTTGGATTTTAAATTTAGACACTCAAAGAGGGGACATCCATCTGAGTCTGTTTCTACATCATCGAACCCATGGCATCACATGGCTGTGGGTGGAATGCACTCTGAGTCTGCTGCACACTTAAATTTGATTCTAGTGGATGTGAAGGCTAGAAGCTGGCCAGGGGAGGTGGCACACAAGTGGGGCAGTGGGGACTGCCGTTCCCAGAAGGTCCTTCCATATGTCTTTTCCACTCTTTCCTGGGCAAATGGGGGATGCAAGGGCTGACTTGTTACTGGAGACTCAGGTGTATTAATCCCTTCAAGCTGCTATAATATATCAATTAACTGAGTGGCTTAGAAATAAGAGATTTATTTCTCACTGTTCTATAGACTGGGAAGTCCAAGGTCGAGGTACCAGCAGATTCAGTGTCCGGTGAGGGCCTGTTCCTCATAAATTATACCTTCTCATTGTGTCTTCATATAGTGGAAAGCATACACAAACATCCTTGGCTCTCTCTCTCTCTCTTTTTTTTTTTTTTTTTTTGGCGATACTGGGGCTTGAACCCTGGGTGTCTTTTATAAGGGCACTAATCCTATTCATGAAATCTCTGCCCTCATGACCTAAAACCTTCACCTTACAGGTTAGGAATTTTGGGGACACAAACATTCAAACTTAACTACCAGGTCTCTAGGTCTCTGTTTCTGCCCATTCCTGCTCTGATGACTTCTAGCCTAGTCTGGCTCAGTATTAGAGCGGGGTGGTGTCCTCAACTCTTTTCACTTCACACCTAGAAACCAGAGATCTTTCCTATCCTCACTGTGAAGAGAGGGCAGGGTAAGGGGAGAATGGACTCATGTTGAGTTTAAGTATGACACAGAAATTCTTGTGGCCACCACAGGGTGGAAGAGAGAGAGTGATTTCCACATTTCCAATTTAATAGTTCTGCAGTGTGCTACTCAAAGTGTGGCCCATGGCCCAGCAGCATGTTCATCAGCTGGTAGCTTTAGAAAAGTACCTGTTTAATCTGCACACTGATCACATGGGGGTGGTGTCAAAATGCACACTTTGCTCCACTGGGCCTGGGTTGGGCCCCAGTCTGCATTTTGTAAGATGCCACAGGTGCTGCTACTGGCCCTTGACCACACTTCTGGGAGCAAGGCCCCAGAGACTAAATGACAGTGGTGGGTAAGGGAAGGACATAGGCAGGTGGACTGCTGGATAACTCTCATAGTCTTTGTCACCCTTAGGACTGTGAATTTGGGTGTTTTCTCTTCCAAAGACAGACTCATTGTCCTGTGAGTGATAAGAGGGGGCCAGTGGTGACCTCTGTGGTCCTGACACTCAGCCTGCGTCTGTCTAAGCAACACTTTACTCTCCCTACTTAGGAGCTGGAATACCAGAGACGCCAGGTGCGGGAGCCTAATGACAAGTTTGTTCCCGTCATGAGTGACTTCATCACAGTGTCCAGCTTCAGCTTCTCAGAGCTGGAAGACCAGCTAAACGAGGCCAGGGATAAGGTATGGGGGTCCCAGTCTACCTCTGTGATCCCCAGTCTGACCCTGACCTCCCTCTCCTCAACTCAGCCTTGTGTAGGTGTGGCTTCTTCACTCATTACTACCAGACAACCCGGGAGGAACAACCTCAGAGCCACAGCGATTTGAGGAGAAATGTTTTCCTTGCTCCTACCAGATAAGGTGCCTCAGGTGGTGGGTACCACATTAAGTTTTATGATGATTTGTCTTACCACCTACCTTATGGTTTTGCTGGAAGTTTATAATCCAACAGATGTGAACAAAGACAACCAGACATTAAGTAACTTGTCTGAGATTGTCCAGCTGAAAATGACAGAACTTGGTGAGAATCCTGACTCTTCAGCTCAGCTTTGGATGTGGTGGCTGTGGCTGTCTGCTACTCATGCATATGAGCTCCACACTTGAGGGTCTTTTAAACATGTGGACTCTTACTCAGGAGTTCTGGGTAGAGCTGTAGATGAGCATTTCTAACAAATTTCCAGAAGATGCACAGGCTGTTGATCCAAAGAGCACACTTTGAGTAGTGATGTCTTTCTTAGACAATGTCATGTGGGTTGAATTAGAGGGGACAGCTCTCATAAAAGTCACCACAATGCCTGGCACACATAAATAGCTAGCCCTTTACATCTACCAACTCATTTGACTCCCACAATAATCCTATGAAGTTTATCCCCATTTTGCCGACGAGGAAGTTGAAGCTCAGAGGAGTTAAATAAGCAACCTAATGACTAGATGACTCCTGAGGATCTTTTGCATCTTGACCAGGCAGTTCCTGACCATAGAAAGGGCTTCCCAAGGTCTATATCACCTGATCCCACACCTATAATGTAACAGATTCAGAGGTGGCTACAAGGTAGACTGTCAGCCAGTCCAAAGCCACTTCCCCACCTTGGAGTCAGCCCCAAGGCTTCTTAGCTTTGTCCCTACCCTGGGATAATGGGGCCTTGCTGCTCTACCAGTCCTGCCCACCCCCATGCCAGCAATCCCTAGCCTAGGACTGGGCTCTGCTCTGGTTGGAAGCCAGCTAACTGAAGGACTGGCCCCACCATGCTTGATGACTCAATCAACCTGTTCCCTGCACAGTTCGCCAAGGCACTAACACACTTCGGGGAACAGGAGAGCAAGATGCAGCCGGATGAATTCTTTGGCATCTTTGACACCTTCCTGCAGGCCTTCTTGGAGGCCCGGCAGGATCTGGAGGCCATGAGACGGAAGAAGGAGGAGGAGGAGCGGCGGACACGCATGGAAACCATGGTGAGGCTGGCCTGGGGCAGGATGAAGGAGAGGCAGGTCAGAGTGGGATGCTTCTTGGGGTATGTGAGAGAACAGGGACTGGGGCACACTCTGGCAGCCAATGTCATCCCCAGGAGACAGAAACAGTTCTCTGCCTGTGACGCGGGCAGGTTGGGGTGTTCTGGGAAGGAGCACAGTGGGCCCCTTGCTGATGAAGCACCATGGCCCAGTGTTGGGGTGATTCCCAGCTGGGAGGGTGTCTGCAGGCACAGAGCACAGTGGGTGCTCCTGCCTGTGTCCTTGAGAAGGCCCTAGCTTCCCACCCCATCTTCAGCTAAAGGAGCAGCGGGAGCGCGAGCGGTGGCAGCGACAACGGAAGGTCCTGGCGGGCAGCGCACTGGAGGAGGGAGGCGAGTTTGACGACTTGGTTTCGGCCCTGCGCTCCGGGGAAGTTTTCGACAAAGACTTAAGCAAGCTCAAACGCAGTCGCAAGAGATCAGGGAGCCAGGCCCCAGAGGCCACCCGTGAGCGGGCAATAAACAGACTAAATTATTGACCTGGTAACTGGCCATGCAAAAGGCCAGGAGACAGGGATGCAATGGCCAGGGGACTGAGTAGAAGAGGCAGTGACTTAAATAATTTGGTGCTGGGTTTGGAGCCCTAGGCTGGGTCCTCAGGGCTGTGTGTGGCTAGACCAGGTGTCTCCCCACACTTACCTTAAGGGACACCTCTCACCTTCTCTTCGCGTTCTATTTCCAGGCCTGAAGGGGTCATTCTGAGGTTGGCTTGGACATACTTGGCAGGACCTGGCCTCTGGCCAGGTAACTCCAGGCTGAGGGGATCCTGTCCCCCACACCAGGCACTCACATGTTGGTGCAGAGCTGTTGCAGATCTTGACCGAGAGGTCCATGGGCCTTGTCCCAAGCTCTCGAGCAGTGGGAAGTGATGGGGAGGAGGAGAGGCCAAGAGCCAGGAGGAGGGAATCTAGGCTTCCATCCCTGACGAGGAGACTCAGTGGAACATTGATCTGGAGGCAAACTTTCCTCTTGGATGGAAACAGACAGGCATTATGGATTCTAGCCAGATCAGCTCTGGTGTGTTCCAGAAAAACATGTTGTGAGGATGACGCAGGACCAAAACCACCAGGACAGAGTAGCAGTGCCTGTTACCCGCAGAGCAAGTTCTGTGCCTCTCCTTCCTTCCCTTGCCTCATCTCCATCCCACCTGCCAATCAACAATCCTGAAATTCACCCTTGAGTTCCTAGGATTTCAGCTAACTACCAGGTACTGGGTGAATATGGAAAAGAAGGTGGTTCAAGAAAGATCTGCTCCATCACCACGCCTCATACTCAGGCATAGGGGACTTGTAGCAACCCCCTCTCCCAGGATGTAAGGCAGTGGCCCTACACATTTGTCGCCTAGAGTTCCCAGTAGCCCCTCACTAGAGGGCATCACTTGAACGCCTAGCTGCTCCCAGGAGCTCCCTGCCTACATTTAATATTACTCACTCAGAACCCTCTTCCTCTAACACCTGCCCCAAGGCAGAAGCCACAGTGACCTCCTGCTCTCCATTCTGCAGACCACTTGGAACCATATGCACTGGCAGAGGCTGGCCCTGGGGAATTGTTCCTGGGGGCCAGCCTGCCCTCTGCATTCAAACTGGGGACCAGAGAGAAAAAGCAGGCAAGGGATGCTGGGAGGATGGGGGTGGAGGAGGAGGGCTGACTTTCTTGGGGCAGGCTCTGGCTAAAGGGGTCCTGGGAGGAAGACAGAGGGGAGTTTCTCACCCTCACCTCTGGCACTCTGGTTCTTTAGTCAGGCTTGCAAGGGCCCATTCTTTCCCTCCTGTTCACTTCTACCTTCCATTTTGCCCATTTTGAGCTGTCATTTGTGGGGGGAGGGGTAGGACTGCTGTATCTAGAATAATGTTCTAAATGGGGGAGGTAAGGTCAACCCCATGAAGGCTCTTAGTTTCAATACAGTCCCATCCTTTAACTTCTGTGACCTTCCCCATCAACTACTCCTCCCCTTCCTTTACATTTCTCATCTCCTCATCTAATCCCTTGGCACAGGGTTATTGCCAGTGGGCTGCACTTATTCTTCAGCTATTTTCCCTTTTCCCTTCATCACATTTCTGGGGTAAGACCATAGTAGCTATGTGGGAGGTAAAACACAGGGTTAGTGAGCCCAGTATGTGCACTGGTTCGAGGGGGCAGGCATGTGTGTTCTGGTGGGAGGGATCTGAGCAAGTGCAAACCTGGCCAGCACAGGTGTGAAGAGGCCATCCTGGTACCCAGGTGAGGACAAGATGAAGGCTTCTAGGAAGAGCAGCTGCAGAGAGCTTTGTTATATCCATCTGCACACTAAGAACCCCAACTGCAAAAAGCAGGCTATGGGGTGAAGGGGAAGACGGGGGATCATCTCCCAGGTGGCCTGGGCTGAATCAGCCTAACATACAAAGGACAGGGAACAGGGGAGGGCTCAACTTATGTCCACCATGCCAGATCCTGGCATTGCCACCTACTATGGAAGACTGGAAATGTACCAGGAAAGATGAGGACTATGGAAGCTGTTCAAGATACATTGGATCCTCAGAAAAGCAAGTTTGGTTTAACTGTTTACAGAGGACACATGCATTGTTCCAGAGCCCAGCCTTCTCACCCCAAAAGATTTTTTTCTTTATTTATTATTTCCTAGATCTGGTCAGTGGCTCTGGTGCTAGGTGCCATTGTAGCCAGATTCCAGCAGTGCCTTGGACCATGGACCATCACTGTCAACTCAGCAAGAAGGGGCTGGTGCCCAATGCGGGTGACTGAGCTGGTCCTTGATGTTAAATGATTAAGCTTATTATTGTGGTTCTTGGACTTGCTTTTGCTGGTGCCTTTTCACCCCTCCTGCCATTTGTGGGCCCATTTTTTTCTAGCTGATTTTATGTTCAATGTAAAATTAATAGTCAATCTAATGCAACCTTCTCAGCAGAAGCACTCCTCCCATGATGGATATTTAGGGGATCAGGGGAGAAAATTCTCCAGGTGGATGGGAAGGGTCTGGAGCAGGCTCTCCCCATTTCCATTGCCAACAACTGGGGAGTTGCAACCATCTCCCCTGCTCTCTACCAGAGACCTCTACTAACCTTCATGCCAAGGCTGCTTCACCAGCTGTCTCAGATGACAAATGAGGCTATGTACAAAATCTGCAGTGTTCTTTTTACCTGCACCTTTTTATAAGAATATATTGTAATACTAAAAAATATTAAATCCATACCATCCCCACCCATCCTGCTAGAAAATTGTGTTTCTTTTCCTGAAGAGATTTGGGGTAGACTGGGGAGTGGGTATGGTCTGTGGTATGCTGGAGCCAGCTCTATGAGAGCCAATTGTTAAATTTTCAGAAATTTTGCAAGCCAGGTGATAAAGGAATAGCTTGAATTGGGAGTATTTATAACACAAAATCACCATTTTCCAGAGAGCTGGTTATTAGACATTTGCTAGCACACCTCAACATAGACAGGCCAGGGACACCACTGAGGAAACAAGGAACAACCCAAAGAAATTCAGTCACACTAGAGAACCCAGCCAAACCAGTGTTTAGAACTGGAACCCAGGAACTTCTGTTTCACTTACCTAATCTCCAATAGCTGGTGACACAAGGTGCTAAGGACCTCCCACCAGACAAATTCACCTTAGGGTACATTTTTATACCTCCCACTCCATTCGACATGCTCCAAGAGGGAGGGAAGTATATACAGAATCTACCAGTTGCTTTTCCAGGGTCTCCCTCTCTTCTTCCCCTGGGGAGTGGGTCTTGGGATGAGATTGAGGGGTGAGAATGAAATTGTAGCAGCCTGGTGCCCTCCCCACAGATAGTCCTCATTCTTGAACCTCCAAAGTTGGCGTTGTGACTTTATTTGTATACTTTATTACAGGTGAAGGCAGTCTTCAGTTCTCTTCTTTCCCTGATATGTGCTAAAGAGGTGTAGGTAGACTGACAGTGAGCAGGACCAGGTGTGAGATAAGTGGTCAGCAGGAATCCTTAGGGCTAGAGCCACCAGCATGTGTCCTGTTTAAGGGGAGGGACTGGTGGAGGCAGGGGATCTGGCAGATCAGTGCAATTGTTATGCCAAAAGCCTGCTAAACATAAGGAGCAGGCCAGAGGGTAATGAGTGGCTTCTTAATCAGGGCAGGGTTGTGGCTTCACAAACTGGGAGGCAAAGTTGCTGGAGAGAAGGTGTGATACATTCTTTATGCAAGCTTGTGCTTTTCCCTCCCCAAAGTGGGTTCTCTTCAGCTTAATGAGCCCTTATTCTCTCCCCAGGGAAGTGGGAGAAGAGAGAACCCAAAATGAGAAGTAGACTTGTAGGCTGGGCTGCCTGAAGCTGGTTGTCTGTAACAGTTCTTAAGTAACATGATATGATTTTCTGGGTATCTAGTATTGCTTTTTGCAACTCCTCCATTTACCTCAGAGTCCTGGAAGGTTCAAGACCTGTAGTATAAGGGAAGCCTTATGGGTTATTATAAAACATCCTGCAGCAAAGGAGTGGGATGACCTCGGGTTCCTTCTGGTGAAGGTAAATAGTGACCAAGATTAAAGGAACTTGACATCTTTCCCTTGGCCCAAATTGCATCTTGCTGGGAGACCTGACCAACTGGTGAGTGAGCCAGGGCAGGAGCTCTATGCCCGGTGGAAGTCCCCCCGCTGTCCTCCAGTCTTGCTGATGAGCTTAATCTCCCCCACCACGATGTCCCTACTGATGGCTTTACACATGTCATACAGAGTGAGGGCAGCCACAGCAGCTGACGTCAGTGCCTCCATCTCCACCCCAGTGGGGCCCCGAGCTAGGCAGGATGTCCGTATCACCACAGCATGACGTGTGCTGTCCAGCTCCAGCTGTACCTGGATGTGGTTCAGGGCCACATGGTGACACAGAGGAATCAGCTGGCTGGTCAGCTTGGCCGCCTGGATTCCAGCCAGCTGGGCCACCACCAGTGCATCTCCCTTCTTTAGCTGGTTCTGCTGGACAAGCTTGAAGGCCACAGGCCCCAGAAAGACCACAGCTGAGGCCACAGCTACCCGGTCTGTGTCTGGCTTCTGGCCCACATCTACCATAGCTGCCTGTCCTTCTGAGTCCACATGAGTTAGTTGGTCTGAGGTTGAGCAGGGTTGTGAAGGGGCAGCAGGAACCCGGGACCCTGACCTAAGGCACTTTGGGTCAGTGTCTATGTGGGAGCAATAGTGTCTTTGAGGGGAGCCAGACCCCAGCCACTGCTGAGCAAGAGAAGTCTGGGGGATTCTCCACAAAGTTGCCATCTGGGTGGAGAAACTCACTCTGGATCCCAGACCCAGCACACAGTGGAGGTTCCAGGAGGAAATGCTTGGATTGGCTGGTAGGGAATCTTGGAGCACCAAAATTAACCCTGGAAGACAAGAAGGAGAGAGAAGACAGACTAAGCACAAAAGATAATCCAGTTCCCCACCTCTTCTCCCTAACCATCTCCCTATTCCATCATAAGTTTTCTTTTTCACACTGGGAAAAGAAGAATAAAGAACAAAAAGCATAGTGAGATGAAACAAAAGAAAAAAGAGAATTTCCCCACAATTCAAGTTTTCTACCCTTCACCAGTTTCTGGGTGTCAGGCAATGGGTACAGAACCCCCCTTAGGTTCCCCTTCTCACACAAACTTTGGAAGAAACACCTAAGTTCTGAAGGCTAAAGCCTGGATCAAATGACCTCTGATGTGTCTTCATTTTCTTTAAACTATAGCTAGGTCCCACCTTAAATGATCAATTATAGTTCTTTTCATCCTTACACTCTCTATAGAGAGTTAATATGAACCATTTAGTTGACAGACCAGATATTAAATAATATACTTCATCTACTTAAATAATGTCTGCCAAGTCTCTTGCACAAAGTGACAGGCTGTATCCAATGGGCCAGGGAGCCTTGGGAACTTTGCAGACTCAAAGGGTGATCCAGAGCCCCATCTTACCTGGTCCTCCCAAATCAGAATCTGAAATAACATGATCCTCCAAATGCTCCATATGTACAGGGAAGTCAGAGGCCCTGTGTCAGGCAACTCTTGTTTTATGGAAACAGACTGTTGTAGTAACTACACCCCCGAGTACTGAAATTCCTTAGGAAGCAAATGGTCTCCCAACTTCCAAATTTCATCACATTCTAAGCCCCAGTCTTGTCAATATCAGAGATAAAGTCTCCTAGGAGGCCATCAAGGCATCGCCCAATTCTTGCCTTGATGGTGCAGCAGACAGGTCAAGATCCAACAAAGGACAACAGTCCTGGAGGTGTGGGGAGAAGGGAGATGACAGAATTGTTTCTAGATGGGTGCTTCCCTGTGGATAGTTGCCTCTCCTGCTCTGGGTGGCTAGTATACTGCGGTGGTCCTTGGGATCTCTCTGGCCCAGTCCAGCCTGCTTTCCTGTGGGTGACTGGGCTCACTCTGTTCCAACATCTGGAGAAAAAAACCCTTTCCCCCAATTTTGCTCAGTGCTTTCTCTAGTGGTACAAATTAGGGGGCCCAGATTTGGGAGTGACCCAGGGGCACTATGCAGAGGAGCAGCTGTCCTCTTGCTCCTCATGGACCAGCCCAATTCTCCAGAGTAGACTACACACAGCTTTTCAAAGAGGTGTTTTCATGTGCCACATCCTATGTTCACCAGACGCATCCTGTGCATGTACATTTCCTACACTTAAGGAATTGGGAAGTTGAGATCCTGGCCATCTCCTCCCTGCAACAGTAAGCAACGTTAGCTGGCTGCCTCAAGTTTTGTTGTACCTGGCCCAGATGCTAACAACCCATTAACTGTCAGGGACCAGTGATCCAGACACTCCATACTGCAGAAAGGAAAGGTCGCCTGTAATTGTGTCCCAGCTGGGAGATTCCAGAGCTGAGGAGAAGGTCTCTGATTTAACTAGGAGCTCCATTTTCAGGGAACAGCTAGCTCAGTGATTATTAAGTCTGGAGACACCCCTTCCCAACACACATCCTGGTTCTGATGGGAAAAAACAGTCATTTCTGTGGCACGTAGAGTGAGGGGAGCCGTGGACAGGGAAAAGAAGAAACAGTAAAGGATTGAAGGGGTAAGAAAAGATGAAAGAAGAGTAGAATAAAAACAAGAATGAGCATCAGTATGAGATGCAGGAGTTGGGGTGCCTTATAGCAAGGATCCCACCCTCAGAGGACCCCCAAATGACAAGGGTGAGTGATTACGTACTGATGGGTCACCCACCGATGTGGACCATGGGCCGGTTCTTCATCTGAGCAATATTGAACATGCCTGGGTTAAGGGAAAGATGGGGAGGTA